ATATTGATCCAAAATGTTTAAAGATATAGGCAAATACGTCACTCTGAGGTAAGACTAAATATGAAAAAATCTCTGTTTGTGTAACTACAATTACTTCCTCAACTATGTATTTCTTTACACGTTCACCCTTATTTTGTCAAATTTACATAGGGGTGTCCATGCGGTCGGTAAATTGAAAGAATCGAACCGGACGAAAATTCGGTACATACCGATTACCGAACGGGTAATTCGGTTTGATATTCAGTTTTTTATTTTTATATATACATATTTTTATTTGAAATATTATGTATTTAAACTAAAATTAATTAAAAAAAATTAATATTTTTAATAAAAATTCAATAATTCGGTTATTTACCAAAGCGTACGATAAACAGTATGAAAATTTGGCATACTGAATTCAGTACGATTTACCGAATGAACACCTCTAAATTGACCAACTGAAAGAGTTTTTTCATAATATAATACATAGTTGAGGGGTTTTTGTAATTTGACCTTAGCTCATGGGTTGATCGTAGTTTGCCCAAAAATACAATTAAAAATTCGAATTTGAAATAAAAAGAATTCTCATTTAAAAATTGAAAACTACCGAATCAGAATCGGTGAAATTCGAAAATACCCGTTACAATTTCCATTCCAAAGTGTAACACAATTATTATATATATTCACCAAATACCCCAAACAACATGATATATCATATTTCATTACAATCCAATTTGAATACCCACACTCTCACACACACACACGCACACACACACACACATATATATATATATATATATATATATATATATATATATATATATATATATATATATATATATAGTAGTAGCATCATTATTCCTAGGGTTGCCCCTATAGTTCTACTACTCCTCCATTGGATGATCAATTATCTTCTCTAGGCATGATAACGTACGCAGGTAAATCTCAGACCTGATCACACAAAACGACACCGTACCATACCATACCCCCATTTTCTCTCTCTTCTTTCTCTCTCTACAGATAATAAAAGATCATCGTCATCAAATAATTTCTTCCTTCCATATATCTCTGCAACAATGGCGGCTGCTGCAAACAATTTGCCACCAGGCTTCAGATTCCACCCCACCGACGAAGAGCTCATAAAATACTACCTACTCAACAAAGTTCTCCTCTTCAACTTCTCTTGCTCCGCCATTGTTGAAGCTGACCTCAACAAATCCGAACCCTGGCATCTTCCCGGTAATAAATACACATATACATATACACACACATATATATATACATATTTTTACATTTGAAGTTTTCGCGTATTTTTATTGTTTCTAATGTGCATACTATTAAAAGAAAAAAAAAAATCGGGGGCGCTGCAACCAAACCAGCGTAAATTTACAGTCCGCCGTTTTTTATTAAATATTTTTTTATTTTTTTTATTTTTACTATACTCAAATTCGAGTAAAAAAATTCTGGATTCGCCGCTGTATATATATGTGTGTGCAGGTAAGGCGAAGATGGGGGAGAAAGAGTGGTACTTTTACAGCCAGCGTGACCGGAAATACCCGACCGGAATAAGAACGAACCGGGCGACTGAATCGGGTTACTGGAAAGCAACCGGAAAAGACCGGGAAATAATATGCAGCTCGACAAAGAGTACGGTGGGGATGAAGAAAACCCTAGTTTTCTATATGGGTCGGGCGCCGAAGGGAGAGAAGAGTAACTGGGTTATGCATGAGTACCGCCTCGACGGCAAGCTTTCTTACCACTACTTATCCACTAACTCACAGGTTATACAATAGAGGCTCGATAAATATTAATTAACTCGCTTAAATAATAAAATCTTCTGACCCCGACTCGGTGAAAACTAAAAAACGTATTACATTATTAATTTGACAATTTAATATTTCATTAAATCAATTGAATTTTGCTAATCCCTACCTCCCAACCGTATTACTTTATAGAGATATACTGTACATATATATATATATATATATATATATATATATATATATATATATATATATATATATATATATATATATGCGTGTTAGTGTGTGCAGATTATATTAATAGTAATTGGTATTTATACGTTTGTATTTGTGTGTGTGTGTTTTAGTGGGTGATGATATATGAGTTTACATTGATTTGATTGCACACGATTGTTGTGAGGTGATTGAATTATTGATGTTACATTTAAATAATAAGATAAATTACGAAAAATCCTTTGAACTTAGATTAAATAACGATAAACATCCCTATCTATATATAATAACCAAAATTCATTTCTAATTAATTGTTGATTAAGTTTTTTTAACAGAAAATGTGTACAATTTGTTATTCTACCTTCTGTTGAATAGTTGAGAAATAAAAAAAAAAATCTGAAATCATGTGAAGTCTATACCCGGAAATGAATAAAAAAATATGTGAAATTTAAAGCGTAAGAGATTAGTGTAAGACTGAAACAAACCTTTAGAGTTTTTTTGATAATTACGAAAAGGTAGAGATGGTTTTTATAATTTAATGTAAGTTCAGGGATTTTCGTAAGTTTTCGAAATATTAATTAGTAATTAATATTTTATTTTTTATGGTTTTTAATTTGCTCCGTTAGGATGAGTGGGTGATCTCCCGAGTGTTTCAAAAGAATATTACTGGATCTTCTGGCTGCTCCGGCGCCGCCGCGGGCGGCGGCAAGAAGAGGCCGTCCGCTTGCATCAACAACAGAGGGCCAGATCAAGTCGGCTCGCCGTTTTTAGTTTCCCTGCCGCCGCCGTCCGCCGCCAAGAATGAGCACGTGCCCTGTTTCTCCACAGCTGCAGCAGCGCCACCCAGTTTCGATCATGGCGGCGGCGGCGGCTCACTCTTCGATCTCCCGCCGCCGCCGTACTCTTCTCTGATGAGCGCGTTGATTAACGATCCGCCACTATTAACGCCGGCGAATCACCCACGTTTTCCGAGCCCGAGGTCGCTCCAGGAAAACCTGCATGTGCCTTTGTTTGATTTCTCGGCGGATGCTCTGCCGCCGCCGCCGGCGGTGCACGGCGGCGATGATGAGATGTTCGGTTACAGCTGTCTGATGAGCCAGCTGGATACTCAGAAAGTATGCCCCACTGATCTCGATTGCATGTGGAGATGATATATGATTGTTAATAATTAACTCCGGTTTAATTAATGACTAATGGAATTAATTAAGTTTAGGATTTATTATTATTATTATTAATTAATTAGGATTTATTTAATTAAGTTGTACACTAATTACTGTTTCACTTTCAATCAATGAAATGGTTTCTATTTCTTTCAATTCACCTCGAATCCGGCGTTTGGTACACATGATATAAAAACTGATATGAAAAATTACCAAAAGGACCTGATATACGAAGAATTCCTCACTCAAAAAATTGCTAGGAAGAATGCTCATAAATAAAATTCGCACCACTTTCTACTCTTCGAAGTAAACTATTTCCGCATGTATAATTGTGTAAAGTACCAGGGGCGGACCCAGGGGTGTTTTCTTGGGGGCTGAAATATAGGGGTAAGTTAAGAAATAATTTTTGTTTTTTGTTTTTAGGACTAAAGTGTACAAAATAAAAAGTTTGAGGGGCGAAAGTGCATAAACTAATACATAAATACAAAAAAAAAAAAAAAACTTAAAAATAAAATCTTGGGGGGCGGGGGCCACCCCAGCCACAAGGGTGGGTACGCCCCTGTAAAGTACGATTATATCGATTTAGTGCAAATTTCCCAATAATTTTGAAGAACGTAACGTACACACGGTTTCCCCTTCTTGGACCTTGATAGAAAGTTTTGGGAAAGCGAAATCGAGTAAAATAATGGTAAGGGTGATTTCGTCATTTCACAAGTTATCAATCCAAATCATGCGAACCAAACATCGTATTGCATTTATCCTTCGTAGGTAAATCCTACAAACCAAACCTGATTTTTTGGCTACTATATAATTACGAACAATGCTAAAAATTGACCAATATACTTGTATACTAAAAATTTACGCAGATAAAAATTATATAAAATAAAGTAATAAACCATATAGTAAAAGACAAAGTGATATGTATATATAAGTTAAAATGGGGAGTGATATAAGCATTGCACGCTGAGTACCAAAAAGGGTAATTTATGGTAATTTATGAAATTTTGTAATGATGAAAAATGAAGCAATAATCTTTGTACATGGGTAAAAATTGATTTTGCCTTTTCTACATAAAAAAACAAAAATATAAAGTACCCAGTACCAAAAGCTGGTATTTGGCAGTTGCGTTTGAATAATTCTTGAAATATATAAATATATTGTGAGATTAATATGCTGATTCTTGAAAATAATTTGATTTTAAAATGTAACCGGCACTAAAAAAAAACAATTAAGAATGAGCTTCGACTCGACTGATTAGAAAGTTCGAGCTCGAAAGAAATCAAGTTTGAGTTCGAGCTTTTGTCGAGCCGGTTCATCGAGTTCATGAGCCGGCTCAGCTCATTCACTCCCCTATGTTAAACCTATCTCTAGAGTTAACTTCTAATTAAACTTAATTATGTAGTGATTCTCAAATTAAGAGTTAGGAATCGTTAATTATTTTCCAATTAATTTACTTCATTTTGAGTTTTCTTGAAGAAGTTACCGAAGCATACTAAAAAAAAAAAAACACGAAAACTTGTTTTCGATTTCATCATTTTTTCTTTGATGAGGTGAATTTGACATTCTATTGGGCTCTTATAACTATTATTGGTGGACCATGACCCATTTTTATTATATTTAATGGGCTCAAAATTGGATCAAAACCTCAACAATATGTATGACTTAAACGTAATACAAACATATTCTCCACCATAAGATGTATGCTTTATTTACACACAAAACACGCTGCTACACACACTAAAACACACGTTCTAACATCCAACATCAAATTGTCTTTCACAATTCAGTTTCTCTATTTTATACTCTTTCTTGAACTACTTCCCCAACTAACTTGAGCAATGGAGGTTTAACCCCAGGGCTCAAGCCTCGGGATTTCAGTTGAGCAGAATTGAAATAGTTTTTCGGCAATCGAGATTCGAAAAGGTGTTCGAAAAGACCCAATTTTGATGGAGCTTAAAGCTGTTATCTATATGGTTTTCGAGATAGGAATTTTTGAAGATAAACAGAGAAAAGTCGAGGCAAGAACTTTGTTCTTTCTCCTTAAGACAAAATTGCCCCGCAACAGTGCTTCGGTTTCGGCAATTGTCTCCCAAAATACAACGACTTACAGTTCCAACAGAGCAGCACAACAACTGCTGGAACACAACGAACGAAAAATGCTAGATTAATTAATTAAGCCCAAAAACTTTAATTACTTTGAGGCCCAAAACGGACCCAACTCCAAACCAAACATTTCCAAAGTCCAAAGTCCAAAGTCCAAAGTCGCACGCGCACGGTCTCGGTCCGGGCGGGCGGCGGCGGCGCGTGTGTGGTTTGGTACTTGATCCCTCACTTGATTATACCTCTAGCTATCCATTTAACACTATTTAAAGTGTTCTCATTAATGCTTTTTTCGTGATGTGGGACAAGTGACTTTTCACCCCCCACCAAGCCCTTTGAGCTCACTTTAGCTCATTGAAGTACTTTACTTTGTGCATTTATTTCTCATTCATCCCATATTGGATTTGAGCATTTAAACACACTTCAATTATCTACTCAAAGCATAGATTCATAATTTATTCCTTGAAACGATCACGGAATTTGTACTTCAATATTTTCCACATTTGAGGTATACACCTCAATTTTCCTACAATCCCCCCACATGAATGAGAATAATGCATGCAGACACTTAAAGTCCAAACGATTTGTTATTGCATCGGGAGAGGTAGCTTATGACTTTGAACCTTCCTTAGTAATATGTTGTTGGATTTACTTGTTGTTTAGTGAACGTGATGTCTTGAACTAATCAACTTTTTGTGTAAACCAAGGCAGCAACATTTACACAATAACATTTCTAACGTCTTTTGTTCTCACGTGTTGTCCATTTCTGCCTTGGACCACTCTTGGATTCATAAGTGTTTCATCGAAGCGGCCCTATACTTCACACTTACATAGGTGATCTCCTAAAAGAATATCCTGTCATATTCCACCTTAAAAGGTCATAGGAATCATTAAAAGTCACTTGACTTACCCTTACCACACTCGATAGGTAGCACTTGGATTAGGGAATGGTAGGAATAATTTTCCAAGTGCACAATTTGAATTTCCATAACTTAGTTTGCCCATTGAACCAAGATTTTGGGATCTCCAATCTACAAGGTTGGATTACCATCATGGATTTTCTTTTGAGTTGTGGGTTTATAGACCCATTCCCATCACTAACTAGCACATTTGATCTCTATTGATTCCTTCGTCAAGGATCAACCAAATTATCTCTTGACTTCGTAAAGTCAACGTTTATAATTTCACTAGAGATCAATTGCTGAATGGTGTTACGTCTACGATCGAGACTTTACCATTTTACATATCATTTTGTGCTCTTTTGTATAGTCAACTGACTACTACAATTATTTTCAAGCACCAACTAAGTCCATCACATAATGTCCTCTAGAAAATTATGGAGTCATCCAACATTTTTCTTTAAGTTTCAAGTTATAACTCGAATTCCATAGTGAATCGAGTTATACATTTATTTTGAGGACTTCCACAATGCAAAAATATTTATGGACATAGTATCTTTGTATCATATATCCAATTCATATGAATGTACTGTCCAAGTACAATTGGATATCTTTTATAATATAACTTACGTTTAAGGCGAATCTTGCACTTCGAAGAACCCTTATTTAACCATCCACTTATTACTTATATGATTACCTATTTACTTGACTTGCTTAATGAGTCAATCAACATGTAGTTCATTAAACTACAATCTATTCAAGAATATTTTAGTTGAACCATTGTTCACCACTATTCTTTATAGTCTTATATTGATGAGTTCAATATGACTAGTATTGTCTCAACATAATGAGACTCCAATAATTCATAAAATCCTTAGTGATTTTAATCTCAACAAGATTGCATCAATGGGACCATATTTTCCACATTGAAATCTTTTACTAATATTTCATTAGTTTTCATGATAATACTTACACTGCATGATTAACATGTCATTTACTCATAAACATGCACTCTTGTGTGCATTTATCACACACGTACTTTTCAAACTCGCCAAGTTTAAAATTATTTGATAATAAATTCTTATCAAATATGCAATTGCTTTAGAACTTATTTAACTTCATTAATTATTCCTTTTGTCTCAAAGACAATTAACCTCCAAGTGGACAATACTTCATTAATAGCACGAGGTTCATTTTCTAACTCATAAATTAGAAAATCAAAATCAAAATGTTGATTTGCTTAGCTCTCTTTTATTGAGCGTTTGGTTATTTATCACTTTATAAATTACCATTTAATCTCATAGAGAGATATATCTTTAGCTAACCATTTACACTTACTAAAGTGCTTTAATTGTAGCTCATTCTCAATGTGGGATGGTGACTTTTCACCTCCATATACATTAATTTCTCATTCACCCCTAGTCGAGTTTGAGAAATTAAACACACTAGATTTATCTAGTCAAAGTGTATGTTTTTATTCCATAACTTATCAAATGGAATCCACTTAAATTGTTTGTCAAACTTGGGTCAAAATCCAATTTTTCAAACACATTTAATTATAAAGATCGTACATTTATTTGCATCAAGATTGACTATCTTGAGCACTTTCATACTTAGCATATTCAATAAATATGCATTTCAATATTTTTAGGGCTCTTTGAACTTGTTCAACTTTGGTACATTTACCTTAGTCAAAGCACCCCCACATTTCTATGGTCCAAAACCTTTATGTGGTAAAATAATGAGAAAGTGGTGAGCCATAATCTCCCCCACAAATTCTAGCTTACTCTAGAATTATCAACATGGCTTTCTTACTCATTAACAGTTCGAGTATTTCATTTCTCAATACTTTCAACTGTGGTTGATAAGGACTAGCGATTTGATAAGTACAAAACTTGTCAAAAAATTACTCCATATCATCCACGTCAATCACTTTGAATAACAATTTTTATTCATATACCATGATCATTCTCATTTAAATGATTGTAAGGCCTCATCTTTGTTACTTAACAAAGAGACATGATAAAATTTTTGGTAAAATTACCACAAAAGTAACAAATACTTTTCTCATAAATTGTACAATCTTGTAAATCACCAATGTGACTTAGCTTTATACAAATTGTGTTTATTTTGTCTTAATAGACCACACTATAAGAAACTTCTCAAGACTCTCAAATCAAGAAAGTTCTTATCAAATTGTGACAGTTTGTACACAATTCAAATATAGAGTTTAGAAACTCCTACCGTTCACAATATATAAATATTGATTCAACAGTGCAACTGGCCACAATAATCTCTCGTATAGAGATTGTTTGACATTTTCCGTAAGAAAAAACAATTATTGTTGTTTACAAATGGATCAGATGTTCAACATCATCAAGTTCATTCATAAGGTATATCATTCTTCATCTTATTTTATGAAACTTAACTCTTGCTTAGTGGTATTTCTTTGAGTGATGACCCTATCAATATTATTGGTTCATTCGTGTTACCGATGAGGATCAAATATCAATGCTAACCCGGTTTGTTCGTGAGACAGACCTTCGAGATCATGTTGAGATGTATGATTTGACAAGATAAGTAAAACACGACTTCGACAACTTATGCTTCGTTTTGAGGCTAATATAATCATGATCATTCTAATAAGGGTTACGATTCCAGCTGCGAAGAGAAAACAAATTTCTTTGCATATATTGTTGTTTAAATTTTAATTTCCTCGATAAAGTGATCTAAGACGTTCTTGAATTTGAATTTGGGAAGATCGATAAATGCCGAAAATTTATCGAATTGATTGCATATATACGAGAGAAATTTCAATTACAAAGGTGAGCCTGGAAATTGAAGGTGAAGCTTATAGCCATCAAATTATTTGTTTTAAACTTTAAATTCATTACATGTATGATGTCTCGAAACTAATTTATCCATCTTAAATTGAGTTTATTTTATCTTACATCACAATTGAAAAAACAAAAAAAAAAAAGAAAAGAAAATCACAATTGGAATGACTTTTCGGAAATTTAATTGAAAATATTCTGAATTTAACTTGAACTTTTGAAAATTTCAAGTATGTAATACATTTTTATTCAAATAATCTAAAATAATTATTAATAAATTTTTTTTTGGAAAAATACGAAACTATTGGAATTATTTCGGCTATCAAAATTGGATCGGCAATCAGAATTTTCAAATTTTTTTTATTAATAATTCCATTTTCAATCGAATTCTTATTTGAAAAATCGGAATCAGTTGAAAAATTTCGAATCGAAATCAATGGAATTTGAAATTTAATTCCGATTTGCACTCCTAATTTTGTAGTTAAATTTTAACTATTGACCTAGGGCCCAATTGCTGATATGAATATAATAATATATATATTGAAGGACTGAGCTGCAAATATATTTCTTAACGATTTACATACACCCCGAGTTGTCAACACAGTACACACCGCTTGGCAATTTCTACTTCAATTTGCTCTGTGTAAACTTCAGCAGCAAGCCATGGACGAAGAATTCTCCGTCGATCCCTCTCAGCTTCTCGAAGCTGCTTCAGAGTTCTCCGATCAATCTGGTCTCTCTCTCTCTCTCTCTCTCTCTCTCTCTCTCTCTCTCTCTCTCTCTCTCT